TACTAACTCGATCATGTTTTGTAGACAACACCATCCATTCCTACGAAAACTTATGTATGAACTGCCCAGTTTTAGTCATTTCAGCCAAGACATTGATGCTTCTGGGCCCAACTTTTTATCGTATCAACTGAACAATTATAGAAAAGAATTAAAAGCCAGACACAATATAAACGAACTGGATGATAATTACGTGTATATCCCATCAAGTCAATATTTTCAAAACGAAATTGATCCAGTACGATTTAACCAGTTTAGGAAAATGTGTCGTAATTTTATGAAGTTAAACATTATTGGAAGACTTGGATGTGTATCATTGAAAAGAAGGGGAATGGTGCAAAGGACTTCAAGTGAATATACCTTCACTAAACATTCATTCTACCATACAGGTTACAAGTGGGTTCAATCAAGTTCTGTAAACATCACAGATTTAGTTCCGTATGTTTCAATATTCAAATCAGTTTAATTCTGTTTGTTCCATGTTTTCATCTTCCAATCAGTTTAATTTGGTGATTGTATGTTTCCCATATTTCAAATCAGTTTGTTTCCGTGTTCAATATTTGTTATAACATATAATCCTCCAGATTCATGCTTATTATTTTCATGAAAAGTTTGAAAATGTCATGAAAAGTTTGAAAATGTCTTAAAATGTAAAATTTTTTCAAGTGAACGAAGAAAGTAATCGACACATTGCAAAATACACTTCAAATTCACGTAAACTACCAAACAAATGTCAAAATATACACTGTATTAGTCATGTGATAAATGATGCAAATTCAGTCATTCATTGCATGCAACATATGAATAATTACTTGAATTGTAAATAGTTTATTTGTCTTAAAATCTTTATATATTTTTATTGTATATTTTTCTTCATTTTCTCGAAATTTTCGTCTCATCTTTAACCCATTACTTCATGAGCATTTTGTGAAAAATGGCTGTTTTCATTGAAAAGTCTCCCGTTACAAGTTCAAATTGCTATAATACTATAAAAACTGCTTCAACACTAATCAAACTTGGCACAAATGTTGACTGGACCATTGCCCTTGCAACAACATGCTCAAACATAAATTTTCTGTTACCATGGCAACGAGGGGACATCTCAAAATTGCCAAAAATCACTATTTTGCGTTGATTTTATCCATCATAATTGATTTCAAAGTGCTGCAACTTCTCAATGGATTGAGATAGAGTCAAATGCTTTTCAGCGTTGGTTACACGTTACCTTATGATCAATCTGGGGTCATTTATAGCCTCTCACAAGACCAAAATTTTCTTGGCGATGAGGGGGACTCCGCCCCCCTTCAAACCCCCCAAACAGAAGGGGGCACATCCCCCTTCTGGCAACCCCCTGATGTATCTTTTGGTTGGGGGGCCGCGCCGAAAAAGTGGTCACTTTTTTTAACAACATTTCTCAAACAAAAACAAGTGTTAGGGGCCTAAATAAGGCATTTTTTCACCATTTGAGACAACAAAAAGGGGGGGGGTGAAAAAGGCGTTAAAAGGCGTGTATATGAAGTAATGGGTTAAGCATGCAGCTACAATTTGACACGATGGCTCATAAATATCGCAATTAAATGTAATATAATCTACTTCATGCATATATCAATATTAGAATACTTTAATTGTATATGACACGTTTATCTTTAAAAAAATGCTCAAATGTTCATCACTTGTACTTTGTTAAATATATAATTATTACATATGAATTCTTGAAATGGTTATTTATTAACATCACAATCACAAACAGTTGCCTGTTATAGTACATTTCAGTCACCAACCGAAATTAACACATGAGCAGAGCAACAATAATGAGCCGCGTCACGACAAAACCAACATAACGCGTTTGTGACCAGCATGGATCCAGACCAGTCTGATAAGGATCCATGCTGTTCGCTTAGAAACCCTATTACAAGTAGAGAAACTGATAGCGAACAGTATGGATCCTGATCAGACTGCGCGGATGCGCAGGCTGGTCTGGATCTATGCTGGTCGCAAACACATTACGTTGGTTTTGTCGTGACGCGGCTCATATATATTTTAAGATATATGAATATTTTGAATTTTACTGGAAAGTGTTGCTCTAGACAGGTTAAAGTCAAGAAATGCTATCAATTTTTATTTCTCAAAAACGTTTTTTTTGGTATATTGTTACAGTTTCAAAAAAATACATATTAGCCATATTAATGAACTTTCTTCTGCTACTTTTGTTCTGTTGGCAATTGGTATAATTATAGTGAATCAGTATTTGTATGGAAGTCAAAATACTTCTTTGTTTACAATTTGCTACCTTAACGACACAGTACTGTACGTTCAGCGCTACTTTCTTCAGTTTGTAAATATGTAATATGTTCTTAAACCATTATTAAAACATAATTAAACACATATTTGACATTTGTAAAGATTTAAAAGATATGAATTTCTGAGGAATAATGTGCCTTTAAGTTATTGTGAAGATTTAATATTGAGACAAAAAAGATAGTGTGGTTTTAATTAATGAAATTGTTACTCTACATTGGGCTACTGATATAGAAGTTGCACTAAAGATTGCTTCCTTAAATGTTTATCTTCATCTTACATTCATACACTCAGATCATTTCACAACTATAAATGTTTTATTGAGAAGAAATTATAGATATAGGAGTTGTAAAAGTATTTTCTGAAACTACCTAATGCTCAACATTGAAAGATTAATCAGGAATGAAATAATTAAAAAAAAACAAACAAAAAAACTGTTATTTTTAATAATTGTAATACTAATAAAGAGTCGTTTTGGTTTAAAAAGGTCATCATTTTATTATAATATTACAAAGAAGAATGAGCCCAGTTTTCTCAGTATGTGTTAAAAAATTACAGTGGTCACTTTAAATACCTGACATTTATACCCGAATCTGATCAGTCAAGATTTCTAGTCATTGTTCAATTTTAACCTGTTATTTCTTAATAAATTTCCTGAGAATATTTAAATAAATTCACATTCAAGCTTTAAAAAGGCTAATGAAAAAAGGTACCTGTATCAGCTGGGAAGACTTACTTCCCAGGTGCAAGTAAAAAATAAATATCTATATATGCTACAAGCTTAGGAATAATATGTTAAATAAGCTAAATCTTGACATTTCCCGAATTACTTCCTTACTACCATAAATAACTACAATATCTCTTTAATATGTAGTCTGCGAAGTAATCACTATAGAAATAAATTCATATAAATAGACTGTATTCAGTAAGAAGGTTGCATTTACATAATGTGTCCACTGACAATAAACTACTGGTGAGTCATATGGTAACATGGCAACAATAAATAACAATCATGTTTTCTACTAGACGAAATTATACGGTGATATGAATTATAGACCTTGACATTCATCACTTTACATGTACTTAGTTTTATTATAAATTATAACACGACCATGATACTTTAAATATACTAGTTGAAAAACAGCTTGACCTTTTTCTTGTTAAATATCTTAAATGGACTTGTCCGTATTTCAATCTGGACAAAACCATTAATCATTTTTAGGGAAACATTCAAAATATGTATTGACTGAATAGCAAACTGTGTGGATGATGAAGCATTATCAATTCACATTGATAATTAATACAACACTGGTTCTTATCTACTGAAGGTGGTCAGTCTAGGTGTACACTTCATTATTATCCATAATAATAATTTACATAACTTCTTATCCCACAAAAAAAACACAACACCTACTTAAATAGCAGGTGATTTTTTTCTTAACAAATACCATTTTATCCTTTTTATTTATGTAATTCATAGGCAATAAATGTTAAAACAGACAATATTTAGAGATTTATTTTCTTCTACCATCTTTTTTTCAATTTATGAATGAAAATTTATACATTTTTATGGTTATATTTTAATAAGGGACAAACCAGTATAAGAATTAAATGACACTTTTCATTACCTACAGCTGTTAAACATGAATATAAATATACTGAGTGGTATTTTCACCTGAAGTTGATTAAATTAATATATAAAAATCCTCTCTTTTTGTATCCACCAACCACTAGATAATATAATGATATTTTAACTGATATTAGCACTGTATAGGTAATTACATACAATACAGATATTTTTCTGTTGACATGAAAACACAATAACAAAAAATAATTTCCAAGGAGAAATTCAAGGACATTTCATAAATAAAATTTGATTAATTAATGAAAACAATTTTTTTCCTATTCTTAAATTTTCTAATAAATGTAAGTTATACTTCCTTTATATAAACTACATAAACTACTGTATGTAAAAATATGTTAATAAAACAGGAGACTCACAATTATTTTTTCAAATTTATTTCTTCATTCTATAACAATGTTTCATGATTTCAATTAGTACTACAAATGTACTAGGTTTTGGTAAAAGAAAACATAAAATCTTTATATTCAAGACCTGGTTGGGTTTTATGTCACACCAACACTTTAAAAGTCAGTGTCATAGCAACATTCCAGCTTTACTAGTGGAGACAGACTTTCTTCCAAATCCTTGCCATGCAGAGCATGCACCCTTGTAGGACTACTAACTATCCATAAGCTATAATATATAAAAGATTTTTTTCTACTTTAATAATTGTTTTAAGTGTTATGGGTGTAAAGCTATAACTGACTTTGTACTATAGAAATATTGAAACCTGTATTTTCTTGTTGTACTTCTATAAACATTATTCTTTGAGATGGTCAAATATAGCCTTATGACCTTTCAGTATTAGTTTTGATAGAACCATGCAAAAAAAAAAAACATCTTGTTAATTTAAAACTACTGCCCAGGTGTTTTTGAAATCCTTCGTAATAAAAAGATATAGCAAACTAAGCTTTTGTGTAAAATTTGAATGTAAAATGTGAAAACTGAAATATGTAGAGGACAGCTCTTTAAATACTTTATATAGTAATTATATTTACATTCTATATTTGTTTATAATAACAAGACTTGTCGTGAACAGCGCATTCCCTTTTGCATGAAAAACCTTAACAAGGAATCTTAGTTTAAACAAAAGTAAATCAAGTAAAAATACAGCAATAATATAAATGGCATGTGAGAAGCTACCAGTGAATAACTTCCGCAGTTATAGGAACAGAATTTGGGGTTCTTTGTAATGCACTTTTCATCATCCTTGTATGCATGTTTACACCAGCTGGACAGGTAGAATTCGAGAATTTAATCTAAATTATGATCCATCGTAAACACATATGCGTGTATTCATATATATAACTTATGTATATGAGACATTATATTGCACCAAGAACCTTAACTAAATGTTATGCAATCAAGCTCCACAAAAATGCACAAGGCACTGAATGAATAGGATAGCCCCACTATTGCTCAAACTATTTCTCAAACTGCTGTACTCAAAATAGAAGAATACTTTCATTTGGTAACTTTTATCACACTGCTTGTCTATACAAATTTGTTTTCTTAGATGATGGTACTGTCCACATGTAATCATTTATTTGATACAGTTCACAAGACCTGACTTATCTAACATATCTGGAACATTACTGAAGAACACTGATAGTTTAACATCCCTGCAGTATTGTCATGTGACACGATCCATCAAATCTGATTGGTCAAAGTATCTTGATATTAAACATATGAATAAGTTTAATGGTGTAAGTCTTGGGTCATCTATGCTCTCCTGAAAATAAATGTAATTGCAGTTTGTTACAGACAATTTGTATCAAAACTATAACAATATGTATATAGCAAATGATGATATGTATCAAATATCTAGGTTTCTAATCATTGGCCAATTTCAAGATAAAATTATACACTTTAAATTATGATTGAAAAGAATTTAATCTGAAATAAGATATGCCAAATTTTCTAAAATTATGGAAATTAATTAAATCTAAATCAATGTATTCCTAATTAACTTCACAAGGTTTGTCACCTTCATGACATTTTCTGATATAATCTGGTTAATGACAATACTTCTGAACCCTTATAATGCTATATATAATCTATATGGACTTGTCCATCTTTCAATATTGACAGAACCATTTATCATTATTAGGGACAATATCAAAACGTGTTCTGACTGTATAGCTTGCAGTACAGACTATGATCAGTTGGGAAAGATGTGAAAGGTGATCTTGATGTGGACTGACCGCATGCATAGAATCTGTTGCTTCATTCAGGCTAGGAGTTAAAGAACTCAGCTTTAATCACCATTTCAAATGACATAGGAAGGAGTTGGAAGTACAGTAACAGTTTGATATAGAACACATGGCAGGTTACTGTGAGTACATCCATAGTTATAATTACAAGAACCGGTTGAACCGGGTGATGCTCCCCGAGAAGTTCTGGACACAGGAAAGTATAAAAAAAATGAACATAGGGCAAAAACTCCAAAATTAGGCAAAGCGGAGTAATGTTTTTTTGCACTGCACTTCTATTCAATGAGATCTATCTATCTATAAAGTTTCCTGATGATATCAGAGTTATGTCCCGGGTAAAAGTCAAAGTGTAAAAATGAACGAAGGGCAATAACTCCAAAATTAGACCAGGCTTTGTTTAGGTTCTTTAAGCATTGCAGTTCTATACAATTATATCTAGCTATCTACAAAGTTTCATGTTGATATCTCTAATAGTTTTAAAGTAATGTCCAGGACAAAAGTCAAAAAGTAAAAATAAACAAAGGGCAATTTCTTCAAAATAAGGCAAGGCAGAGTAATGATTCTTAAGCACTGCACTTCCACCCAATGAGACCTATCTATCTACAAAGTTTCATGTTGATATCTCTTATAATTTTAGAGTAATGTCCCAGACAAAGTTCAAAGTGTCAAAATGAACAAAGGGCAATAACTCCAAAAGTAGGCAAGACAGTGTTACAGTTCTTGTGCACTGCAAACTTACTCAATGAGATCTATCTACCTTTAAAGTTTCATGTTGATATCTCTTATACATTAAGAGTTATGTCCCAGACAAAGTTCAAAGTGTAAAAATAAACAAAGGGGAATAATTCAAAAATTAGGCAAGGTAGAGTTAAGGTTCTTGTGCACTGCACACATACTCAATGAGATCTATCTACCTACAAAGTTTCATGTTGATACCTCTTATACTTTTAGAGTTATGCCCAGGACAAATTTCAAAGTGTAAAAAAAACAAAGGGGGATAATTCAAAAAATAGGCAAGGCAGAGTTACAGTTCTTGTGCACTGCACACCTACTCAATGAGATCTATCTACCTACAAAGTTTCATGTTGATACCTCTTATAGTTTTAGAGTTATGTCCCGGACAAATTTCAAAGTGTAAAATAAACAAAGGGGGGTAATTCAAAAATTAGGCAAGGCAGAGTTACGGTTCTTGTGCACTGCACATCTACTCAATGAGATCTATCTACCTACAAAGTTTCATGTTGATACCTCTTATACTTTTAGAGTTATGTCCCGGACAAAGTTCAAAGTGTAAAATAAACAAAGGGGGATAATTCAAAAATTAGGCAAGGCAGAGTTACGGTTCTTGTGCACTGCACACCTACTCAATGAGATCTATGTACCTACAAAGTTTCATGTTGATACCTCTTGTTGTTTCAAAGTTATGTCCCGGACAAGAAAAGGGGACGGACGGACGGAAAGACGGATGGACGGACAAGGCGGCGACTAAATGCTCCCCCGAAATTTTTTCGGGGAGCATAATAACATATTACTAACTGGTTCTACTACAAACTAACAAAGCAAATTTTTGGTAACAGTGATTTAAATGTGTATCAAGACATTGGAGAGAGGACATGTTAGCACTATAGCTATTTGTCCAAATGATAAGTCAGCACTATCACTATTCATCAAAAAAGCTATTTGTAGCTTTGTACACATGTTAAACAGAAGACTTAGGGTTTTATACTTACCAGAGATGCACGTAATCTTGAACAAGCTCTAGCTAGACCTCGTAACAAGGAGCAGGCATCTGGTATTAATGGTTTATCTAGACTTACTAATAATGCATAAAACCAATAACCCTACAAATAAAAAAATTGTTATATTACTTCTTTTAATCATTAACTGTTTGTATATTTTACTATCATTACAGTCAGTTCAAACATATTTTATTTTAGTCTGCCTGCTAAGTTCAATAGGAGAGCATTGGATTTGTAATCCTAGGGTGGCTGGTTCCATCCTAGTGTGAAGCCATATTTTTCTGTGACAATTAATCAAGAACAATGTGTCTAATGTTTATTTGTTTCTCAGCCCTGATTCTTAAATTATGTGGGATAAGTATTTAGTCACCTGAAGAAAATTTGTTAACTATTGGTTTGTTATCCAGGAAAGTGGGTTTGCTGGACTTACTGCCGAGATATGACAAAAACATGTTAAAATCAGAATTTAAGTACCAAACAAACAGTTTTATAATTAATTGTGGCAAAAACTAGAAGAATATCTGAACCACTGTTAAAGCCGTAGTGTTTGAAGCTTTCCATTCATTGTAAAGAAATTTTCATTTTAATATTTATTTTACAGACCTGTACATCTTAGAATGTAAACTTGTCCTAAAGATTCAGGGATTTCAATATCAGAAATTTTGATGTGCTTATTCAGAATATAAAAATATGGCAACATTACACAGTGTCATATTAAACTGATTATGTTTTTGCTAGTCTGATTCTTAAAATGATATCTTTATAACTAGCATTCACAGAGATTAATCTCAATGTGAAAATACGGTAGAATATACAGTAGTTTTTCACTTTAATATGTTATATGTTATTTTGGTTATGAAGTGATATATGTGGATATATTACCTGTTAAGATTTTATATCACCCGAGCCGTCAGGCGAGGGTGATATTTTATCTTGGCAGGTAATATATCCACATATATCACTCCAAAACCAAAATAATAATTTTATTACCCTTCCCCTGCCGAGTTTAGACGATTTTTTAAAAAAATTATTGCTGTTTCAAATGAAACGTCGAAATAAGATTCCCTTTAGGGTACCTCTTCGTCACAACATGACGTCACATAAATACATGACGCATTTTCTCGTACCTAACGAATGTAAACAAGAGAAAAGGAGTAGTCTATTGAACGCACTTTTTTTGTAATTAATGTCAAGCTTTCACAAGGTCATATTTGTTTTCGATAATTATGGTAATATGTATCATTACTCTACTTTGGTAAATATTTATCATTTGACAGTTAAAAAGTGCTTTTAAATCGGAATTTACACCGCGTAAAATCGAACCGTACGCGCATCACCTCAGCGCATGTTGTTTACAACGTTGGGTACCCAACGGGGAAATTTAGTGTGTATATTACCCGTCTGGCTCGGTTATATCAATTTCTTTCTGGTGATCAATATCCAATCAAAAAGGCGGAAAAAATCTGGAAGGGTAATATAATTGTATATCCAATCTGGTAAGGTATGAGCCAATGATAACATCATACGCAGACAAAAATACAAGTAAAGACTATTTCCATCTTAACAAAGGAAAAAACATATTTTATAAACTATACAACAATTTGAATTAATCAAATCCATAAATTAATAACAAAGTTATGACATTTTAGGCAAATTTCAATAATTTAACCTTTGAGGTCAAGGTCAATTAAAGGTCAAGGTTATATCAGAATAATTCAACATGTCAGTTTTGTCAAACATGTTCTTTTGTCCAAGTATGAATCAAATACATAAATAAATAGCACAGTTATAACGGCACTGGCACCGACATTGGGAAAAGACGACATGACTGTAGCAATACTTTTATTCTTTTCAGGGAAAAAAATCAGACAATAAAAAACATATTTTACCTGTCTTTCTGTAAATCCTGTGGCTTCAAACCAATTTAAGTGATACTCTAAAACTTTTAACACTGTCGGCTGATCCATGGCCACCATTACACTAACTGAAATCAAAATACATGTTTATGTGAAATTGTAATAGGATATAACAAATCTCTGTATTTGTTTAGTTTGAGTAACAATACAGAGAAGCTTTCCATTCATTGTAATAAATAAGAAAGTTGTGACAATTTAAGAAAATTTCTACAATATGACCTTGAATTTCAAGGTCAATTCAAGGTCATACAGAATAATTCAACCAGATTGTTTTGTCATATGTGTTCTTTTGTGCAAGTTTGAATTAAATCCATATATAAACAAGAGCTGTCGGTAGGACAGCAACGCTCGACTATTCTTAGTGCTTGATAGTAAAAAAAATGCTTGATAGAGTTCCCTCCTCCTGTTTACAGGTTGGGGTCATGATGGTGAACAAGTGTGCAAAGTTTCAAAGCCATATGTCAATGGTTTTTGAAAATATTTGAACTATTACAAAAACTTTAACGTAAATTCTAAGTCGAAAAAAGGGCATAATTCTGTCAAAATGCTTGATAGAGTTACCTCCTCCTGTTTACAGGTTGGGGTCATGATTGTGAACAAGTGTGCAAAGTTTCAAAGCCATATGTCAATGGACTTTGAAAATATTTGAACTATTACAAAAACTTTAACGTAAATTCTAAGTCGAAAAAGGGGCATTATTCTGTCAAAATGCTTGATAGAGTTACCTCCTCCTGTTTACAGGTTGGGGTCATGATGGTGAACAAGTGTGCAAAGTTTCAAAGCCATATGTCAATGGACTTTGAAAATATTTGAACTATTACAAAAACTTTAACGTAAATTCTAAGTCGAAAAAGGGGCATAATTCTGTCAAAATGCTTGATAGAGTTACCTCCTCCTGTTTACAGGTTGGGGTCATGATGTTGAATAAGTGTGCAAAGTTTCAAAGCCATATGTCAATGGACTTTGAAAATATTTGAACTATTACAAAAACTTTAACGTAAATTCTAAGTCGAAAAAGGGGCATAATTCTGTCAAAATGCTTGATAGAGTTACCTCCTCCTGTCTACAGGTTGGGGTCATGATGGTGAACAAGTGTGCAAAGTTTCAAAGCCATATGTCAATGGACTTTGAAAATATTTGAACTATTACAAAAACTTTAACGTAAATTCTATGTCGAAAAAGGGGCATAATTCTGTCAAAATGCTTGATAGAGTTACCTCCTCCTGTCTACAGGTTGGGGTCATGATGGTGAACAAGTGTGCAAAGTTTCAAAGCCATATGTCAATGGACTTTGAAAATATTTGAACTATTACAAAAACTTTAATGTAAATTCTAAGTCGAAAAAGGGGCATAATTCTGTCAAAATGCTTGATAGAGTTACCTCCTCCTGTCTACAGGTTGGGGTCATGATGGTGAACAAATGTGCAAAGTTTCAAAGCCATATGTCTATGGACTTTGAAAATATTTGAACTATTACAAAAACTTTAACATAAGTGGTTACGTCGACGCCGACGCTCGGGTGACTGCAATAGCTCTACTTATTCTTATCGAATAGTCGAGCTAATAACAAAGTTATGACAATTTAAACAAATTTCAATAATTTCATCATGATGGTGGTGGTCCAATAAAGATCAAGGTCATAATTGATTTTTCAACAAACAGGTTTTATGATTGTAATAGAAAATAACAGATCTATGTATATGTATCGTTTAAGGTTTACTGCCAGTTAAAGTTAATAAAGACCAAACCAAAATTATGAAGTAAATGCACTAAGACAATTTCATTAACATATTGGGAGAGTGATGCTTTGCCTATAATCTAACAACATCAAAGCAACATCTTATAATTATATTACTACAGATTATATCTTGTTGATTTTAAAAAAAACCTATTTCCTTCTGACCCTACAAAAAAACTGAAATTGTTCTGTACATATTTCATTGCTTACCAAGGTTTTCAGTGCAAAAATATATATACAATAATTAAACAACAAATGATATCATATATAAGAACCATTATTCTCATTTCTGGCATTTGATGCTGATTGTTACCAATGACAACATTTCCTGTTGAGGATTTAAATATTATTTTGTTAAAAATATAATGGCTTATACATGTAAATTTATCCATTATGCACTTAGTTTAATAAAATGTCAGCTTATTAAACATTTTAACCAAGATTAATAATATTTCAAAAATAGTATTAATATTTCTTGACTTTATAAATCTCTTCCTGATTACTTGGTTACACACTGGCATTTAGAAGAAATGAAACAAGAACTGTTAAAAGGCCAGCACACTTCACCTTTCTCAGTGCTTGATAGTTCAATAAGAGCCTGGATAATGTAGGATTTAACAAACAGGAAAATTTCATTAAAAAAGTACACTCTTGGATACTTGCCCATGAATTTCATATGTTCACATTGGGCAATATTTCATTCAAAAATCAATGCCAGAGTTATGGGCCTTGAATAGTGAACTTATATTGTAATTTTGTAAACATAAATCAAGTTTCAAAAGAATACATCAGTAGTTTTTTTGACAGAGTATTGCTGCATGCAGAACCTAAACCAAAAATGTTCTTAGTTCACAAAGATCTATAATCAAGTCAAAATCCAAGTCAAATTTATGGGCCTTATGAAATGAGCTCCAGTTAAAAATCACAAAGAAAGAGATAAATTTTTCAATGCAAACCTTGATGTCAATGGCAACACTGATGCCAATGCAAACACTAACATCAATGCAAACACTGACATGAATGAAAACACTGATGCCAATGCCAACACTGATGTCAATGCCAACACTGATGTCAATTCCAACACTGATGCCAATGTCAAAACTGATTTCAATGCCAACACTTCCACAATGCCAACACTGACACAAAAATGCTGACACTGATACCAATGTTAACTCTGACACAATGCCCACACTGACACCAATGCCAACACTGTGTTAGTAAGAAAAGCTCACTACTCTTTGAATAGTTGAGCTAAAAATGCATTAATATTACATCCACAAATCAAGAATCATAAAAAAACTCATGAAATGATTTGAAAAGTAATAAGTTTGTGCCTACACAAAATAATTCATTATAATCTTAAGGTTCATGTGGTGTTTTTCTTTTTTTCTAATTTAAAAGTAGTATTAGATAATACTTTAAATGTCAATGAATAAAATGATACATAAATAATAATAAACACATGATGATCCTAATTATATATAAAAATCTATTTGCTGATTTTTATTTCTAATCATCTTATTTACTTCTTTTTATACTGATTTATGAAAAAATTAATATCAGTTTTTTGTCTCCCTTTTTCAATCATGAACTAACCTATACATAAATGAGTAATATTTTATTAGAGCAAATGACACGGTATATGGATAACTACAAGCAAAGTTCGCTGAAAACTAACTACAATGTTGAATATCTGATTACATGTTCTTGAAATTAGACAAGAAATAGACTGTTGTTTAGATTTTATATGCAAATGAGATACCTTTTTTATGTTTCATAATCAAAAACCAAAGAGTTATCAATCTTTGAAAGGTTTGAAGAGAATTAAAGACAAACCTAGAGGTAAAATCCCCTCATGGGAGGGAAATGTTGTAGAACTTTCTGGTCTGTCAGTATCAGTTGTCTCCCTGTCAGAATCCATCTTTATATCAGTCTCATTCTCACTAGTATTTAAATCAGATTTTATTTTAGACGGGTCTTGTCCAAGCCTTGCTGGGGGTCTTAATCGACCAAAACACAATCTACACCAAGCCTCTACATCATTAGCATGTGGCTGAAAATTTATAAGATATTTTCGTAATATATATTCTGTTTTATCTATTCCTCTACAAAGACATATGAAGGCATTTTTATTACAATATCAAGCTTATTTATTTCATGTCAAACAAGTTTCTGGCTTTTCAGTGGATAAAATATCAGCGAAGTGGTGAACCAAAATCTTGGTGCAGCTGAACCACTATTGGCATCCACAACAAAAACGATCATGGAGCAATATATTATTTTTCAACATTGCAAATTCAATAATAAGTCTTCAGCTTTTATCTAAATTGGGAAAACTAGAACTGCCACTATCATGGCGTGAATACCCCCGCATACCACTTTGTCAGAATCAACAGTGGCCATTTAGAGCTCAAGGACAACCTCCCTGCCAAATCTGAGGTTACTAAGCCAGTGCATTGCTAAGTTATGTATTCTACATGCTTCAAATGTGAAAATGTCAAAATCAATACATTGTGGACAGGACATTCATTAGCAATTGAGAAGAAAAGCTTTTTTTTGTCAAGGTCCCTGTGACCTTGACCTTTGACCCAGTGACCTCAAAATCAATAGGGGTCACCTTATAGTCATGATCAACATCCATGCCAAATATGAAGACTGTGGGTCGAAGGAATCTAAAGTTATTGGGCAGACAAACTTTTTGAAGTCAAAGTCCCTGTGACCTTTGACCTGGTGACCTCAAAGTCAATAGGGGTCATCTACTAATCATGATTAACCTCTATGCCAAATATGAAGACTGTGGGCTAAGGAATCTTAAGTTATTGGGCGGACAAGCTTTTAGAAGTCATGGCCCCTGTGACCTTGACCTTTGACCTGGTGACCTCAAAGTCAACTACTAATCATGACTAACCTCCATGCCAAATATGAAGACTGTGGGTCAAAGGAATCTTAAGTAATTGGGCGGACAAGCTTTTTGAAGTCAAGGCCCCTGTGACCTTGACCTTTGACCTGGTGACCTCAAAGTCAATAGGGGTCATCTACTAATCATGACTAACCTCAATGCCAAATATGAAGACTATGGGTCAAAGGAATCTTAAGTTATTGGGCGGACAAGCTTTTTGAAGTCAAGGCCCCTGTGACCTTGACCTTTGACCTCAAAGTCAATAGGGGTCATCTACTAATCATGAATAAACTCAATGCCAAATATGAAGACTACGGTTCAAAGGAATCTTAAGTTATTGGGCGAACAAGCTTTTTGAAGTCAAGGCCCCTGTGACCTTAACCTTTGACTTGGTGACCTCAAAATCATTACAGGTCATCTACTAATCATGACTAACCTCCATGCCAAATATGAAGACTAAGGGTCAAAGGAATCTTAAGTTATTGGGCGGACAAGCTTTTTGAAGTCAAGGCCCCTGTGACCTTGACCTTTAACCTGGTGACCTCAAAATCAATAGGGGTCATCTACTAATCATGACCAACCTCCATGCCAAATATGAAGACTAAGGGCCAAAGGAATCATAAGTTATTGGGCGGACAAGCTTTTTGAAGTCAAGGCCCGTGTGACCTTCGACCTTTGACCAAGTGACCTCAAAATCAATAGGGGTCATCTACTAATCATGACTAACCTCCATGCCAAATATGAAGACTGTAGGTCAAAGGAATACGTAGTCAGTAACTAGTATCGATTATATGTCTTTCCGTCTTCATACAATGTAGCTGTTCCGTTAGATTCTATGCTTGCGCTTTTCTGTTAGGATCTTGTTTTATTTCGCTTTGTCCTAAAAAAATTTTTTTGCCTGTATTGTAAATCAAGGTTCAATTACAGAAATTCTTACTTGTTAATTTTTTTAAAGTTTGTAAGCAATGGCCATCTGTATTGCATTTTAAGATTATTTTTACGCTTTGAAGAATCTTTATTTATTTTACATAATTTATTTAATGCGTAATAGTGACACATGGTCTTGGAATGGAAACTTTCATTTAGAATTTTTTAGTTTTTTTACGTGCTTGCCTATAATACCAACATTGAAAGCTAAGGTCATATCATTCAAATTATATATCTCTTTGGGACAGAATTACCTTCTCTCGCTGACATGGTTGGTTTTGAAATCTCATAGAATTGTAACTATAGTATTCCAAGCTTTCATAAATTTAACATTTCTTCACAACAAGTTCAGTTCAAAAAGTGGGACCTGGTCTAAAACTTATCTCTAAGAATTGCCTAAGTTTCCGATAAAGCCTTAATTTTAAACATAATTCCTTGCAGGCGTTATCTTTCGTCTTGGTTACAGATTGTGCGGATAAGTATTGCGACCATAATACTGCTATAAAGTTTCAGCTTAATATTCTAAAGTTATAAGATGGTCAACTAGTGGATTTACCACCATTATCAATGTATTCTTTAGTCAGTCTTATGTTCATGTTTTAATTCTATTTTTATCTATTTGTTTTTCAGTTCTTTTTTTTTTTATCTTTTCTTTTTTGTTATTTTTATTTTTTATCTTAATATGTTTATTCCATTCTTTTTTTATGATTATTTTTTTCGTTGTTATAATTTATAGCTACTTTATCTTTTTGTTTATAGGCAATCTGATCATTTATGTATTCTGTTTTATTCTTCTGTCTTTCGTTTTTATTTGTTATATCACGTCGTTTTTTGTATGCGTTTTGTATTTCTTTATTTATTTTCTCTTTACTTTTCTACTTTTTTACCTTGTACATTCTTATTAGGTCTTAAGGTCGGGCATAGTTTCTGCTAAAGTTTAACTCTTGTACGACGTGGTAATGGTCAATTCTTTGTCTGTTGATGTAGGACCTTCGTAGCATGTTTACATTATTCCTACTGTTAATGTTCAGTTTTTATAAGTTAATATTCCTTTTCTGTTTGTCTCCATGGTTTTGGGGAAATAAAGTGAGGGTGGTACAGAAACACCGTTACCAATGCTTCACCATACATTTTCTTTAAGCTCATATAGTGCTCATACTTTTTCTTAGGTCTCATATATATCATGCTACAACGTAGGCTGTACGTTACTCTTGTACTGCTAGATCTTTTGCCGATCCGGGTTATATGGGTCGAACCCTAATGTTATGCGTTAACCGTTTCTCACAACGCACCATCAATACTTCGTATACTAACCTACACCTCTGATCACTACTGCAATGGTCCTGCGCTGGTATTCGAAAACTTAACCAACCAGGTGCCGCGGAACGCCCAACCCTGTCTCTCTTGAGCTCCGCACCCGATTCTCCAGCCTAACCCTTGTCAGGACCCGCTCAGGGGCGGTAGGAATACCCCTGACCTCCTCACCATCATACTTCTTATAGAAGTGCTCCAACTGCTTCGATGAGCCCGACAAAAGATTCATAGTAGTCTATCTTCGCCTTCACTTTTAACCTCTTTCTAAAATAGTATATGACATGCTAGTACCTTGGCTCTACGAATCTTTGTATCAGTTGGATATTATCCCCAATTAGGGTCTTTCCTCTCATGACTTTTCATTCTCAGTTTATTCTTACTCTGTGCACTGTTCTCTTTACATTATTTCATCTATATCCTCTGATTTGACAACATACATTGGCCACACACTTTCTCATCACTGTAAAATTACATTTATTCTTTTTAGCTAACAGGATGCAGAGCCCTTGCTTTATCACTCTCTCTTGATTCCTGCTATCTTGATGGGACTTTCACACTTTAACATCCTCATAATCTTCATCCTATGTCTCATTGAGTCACTCCTCTCGCGTAATCTATAGCATCTAGCCACTTAACTTAATTAAGCACACTCGCTTTATCTTCCTACTTTGTTACCAGATTTTGCTAATAGTTATTTCTATTCTTCTTCTTTTTTCAAATAGATCGTATCAGTATTTTTTAATCCTTCTTTCTCCTTTGTAAATCAAGATAATTCTCTAAATGTCTAGTTTATCTATGGATGCCCGCTTGTATCCATTATGGTAGATTTATGCTTGTACAAATTTCCGTTAGTTCTCTTCCTAGTTAAAGGTCTTTATGATTGTTAAATAACTATTACATTACATTTTTGCTTGTCATCTTTCTTGCACACTATATTTTACTGGGTTTCTTACATATTTCCACTTTTATTCTATATTGGCTGTTTATTCTAATTTGTTTACATTTAATATTAGGTAGTTTTTTGTTTCATTCGGAGCACTCTTATGCCGCAATGTCTAACTCATTTACAGATATACTCGATGTTTTTCCACTTTAATCAGCTCTTTATCACACTACTCTTTGTATATACCCATATTACTGGTAGCTACTACTGGTTTATGATCATCTCTTCTTTGGAGTTAGCTGAACACCGCATCTATTCACTAAGTTGTTCACCCACTATTCTCGATATAGTACTTATAACCCCAATGACCTCCCTCATAACTCCAGCTGGATAAGAACCATGACCAACACCTAATACTTGGTAAAACATATCACCACTTTCTTGTGTGGCACCTAAGCTGCTTACATCTTACCAGTTCCTCTCTCTCATCACCTTTTTTCTCGCCTTTACACCCGCATGCCAGTACTATTATCCTGAACCATGCACACCCACGAATAACAGAGGGGAGCATCAGTATTAGAAGTGTATCTTATTTCACTATTCTAGCATGGCAAATTCAATGATTAATCGAACAAAATGATTAACTCGTATATACACCACCTTTAACATTATACATTTTCTGCATCTCACCACTACTTTTCTTCTCTCACATGCATCATACAAATAAAAGACGACAGCCGTTTCGATACATCACACTACTCACTTACATCTTGATATACTGATATCTTACCTCATAGCACACAATCATCACATCATCACTTGATTGAACGCTGTCTACCTACTATCGTTATTGCAATATATAGCAGATATCCTTTCCAGATTATAAAGAATGAAGTAATATATCTTACATACTTCACATCCCGACACATTCCATACTTAGGGCGGGCCATAATAAATTTTTTTGAGGTCTGGGTAACCGCAATTATACTATATCCACTATGATTAGTCTCTTAAAATGTTACATATTCTATTTGACATTAATCATAATCCCTCATTAATAGCTTCAGTCTGGGCATCTTCTTATCCGGGCCTCAGATAGAATCACTCGGTTTGGGAGTGGTCTCTTACTCGGAGACCTCCTCATATTTCCGTTACCCAGAGGCCGTATGCACTTCGATCGTTGACTATCCACATGTGTTCCCCATCCCACGCCTACGCACGCTACTTATCACCACGTGATCTTTTGTCTCCATAGTAATTAAATCACCTATCATTATTGAGATATATATTCATTTCTAACACGACTGCTTCCCACAACATCACCCCAAACCCAAAATCTGCCTCGGGCCATATGACGGATCACGCTCATCTCGGTCTCCCTCTCGTTACGCGTTTTCTTCTTCCTTCCCCTCCTTTACTGAGATCTTACCAAAGTGCTTGCTTGCGAGCCATGTGGGTCTGTAGACTCCCATCTAATCCTTCCTTGCGGCTACCCATTCTCTTTCTCTGTATGGTCAATCATTCAATGTGTGGTATCAATCACTATGTATCTATGATCTCCCACTGTTCTCATCTTATATATTAATGACACGTCCAATCAATCTGTCTGATTATTCCTCTGGGCACCTATAATCACATCCACACACCTCAGGTCTGCTCTACTTATAACTGTTCCATACTACACGGTCGAAACAACTCGACGTGGCGCATTCGCTCCGTTAGTATATTTAATACCGAATTCTATTCATCTTCTTCGTATTACGCCCTTATTTATGAATTTCGTACTTAACATTCAACAACATTACTTTTATAATTTCATTTAATGATTCAATTCGTGGTTTATTCCGTCTCCGTCACAGATTCATTTTGGTTCTATTTCATCACTTCCTGAAATGTATACTCACACTTTCGTTTAACACCATATAGACTTAACTGTTTTCTTCTATTCGCCTTACTGTAACTTAGCCTTTCCATGTTAGATTTTCACAAACTACTAAATTGTAACCTATATCATAACAACCCCTTTATTTATTTACATCATCTCGATAAGTAACACAAATTTCAACAAAATGATCACATAACTTATCTTCAGTCAGTATTCAGAATCTCAACAATCAGATATATCTCAATCTCACTATGGGGACCTGTACTCACTGTTAAGTCCATAATTGTTTCTGGTTCCACTTAGGCCAATATTCTGGCATTGGAAGACTTGGATGGCAAATCCATCGTTCCCTTGGTCGCTCCAGCACCGGCCGGTTGGTTCTAACCTCACCTCGTACAACGACTGAGGAGCATTTTGATGGTGTCACTCTCTCATTTGAAACTTAGCCGTTAACTCAACTCGAAGCAATAGAGCATAGATTATATAATATTACTTCTTATTTACACATCGTTACACACATGTATGACAATAAACATGCTTTTTACATATTCTTATACTTCATTCCCTGCTATTATAACAGACTGCTTACTTCATCCACTCACTATTGCCCTTTGTATGGAGGTGTGAATTATATTTCTGCTTTAATCCTACTACACTTATATTATCACTCGACATTATTGCACTCACTCTTAAATTTATTTCTACCAGCCCATACCTAAAATTGGTCCGACCTTTTGACTCCTAAAAGGAGAGGGAAATAGCCTGTTTTTACTGGCTGTATCCACATATCACAGGCTAGATATCTATATGTCATTTGGTGGAGGTCCTTGGTGAGGAAAAATATGTGGCATTATTAGGACAAGTTTAAACACAGGATCCCCAGAATTCCATTTCAAAATTATAACTACCAATATATAATATATCTGGTCATTTATATCTTTCCTTCCCTATAAGTGATCACTTTTTTTTTCAAAATCATGGGTCTCTCTTAAAGAGACGAAGGGTTTGGTTGTTGCTGAGAGGTTATAGTGTGAGATATAGTCTAGTGTGAGGTAATACTCTAGTGAGAGGTAATTCTCTAGTGAGAGGTAATACTCTAGTGAGAGGTTATACTCTAGTGAGAGGTTATACTCTAGTGAGAGGTAATACTCCATTGAGAGGTTATAGTGTGAGATAATATTCTAGTGTGAGGTAATACTCTAGTGAGAGGTAATTCTCTAGTGAGAGGTAATATACTAGTGAGAGGTTATAATCTAGTGAGAGGTTATACTCTAGTGAGAGGTTATACTCTAGTGAGAGGTAATACTCCATTGAGAGGTTATAAGTGTGAGATAATTCCTAGGTGTGAGGTAATACTCCAGTGAGAGGTTAATTCTTCTAGTGAGAGGTAAATCATACTTAGTGAGAGGTTTATACTCTAGTGGAGAAGGTTATACTCCTAGTGAGACGTCATACTCTTTGTGAGAGGTAATACCCTATTGAGAGGTTTTATAGTGGCGGGAGATAAATAATTTCTAGTGTGAGGTAATAACTCCTAGTGAGAGGTAATTTTCTAGGTGAGAGGTATATAACCTAGTGAGAGGTTATACTCCTTATAGGAGGTTCATACCTTCTAGTGAGGTAAGGTTCTACTCTAGGTGGAGAGGTAATAATCCTAGTGAGATGTCATAAAAGCCTCCTAAGCGAGGAGGTAAATACTCCTAAGTGAGAAGGTAATACTCTAGTGAAGAGGTAAATTCTCTAGTGAGAGGTTTATACTCTTAGGTGAGAAAAGGTTTATACCTTAAAAGTAGAGGGTTAATACCCTGCTGGTGAGAGGTTAATACTCTTGTGAAGGGATAATACCATTTTTTGGGGGAGAGGGTTATACTCCAGTGAGATTTTAATACCTCTAGTGTGATGTCCCATAACTCTTGTAAGAGGTCATACTCTAGTGAAGTTTACTCTAGGTGAGAGGTTAATAAACCTCTAGTGGGAGAAGTTATACTCCCCTAGGTGGAGAAGGTTTATACTCTAGTGAAGAAGGTTATAACTCCCCTAGTGGAGAGGTTCATAACTCTAGCAGAGGCAATACTCTAATAAGAGGTCATACTCTAGTGAGAGGTAATACTCTAGTGAGAGGTAATACTCTAGTGAGAGGTAATACTCTTGTGAGAGGTTATACTCTAGTGAGAGGTCATACTCTTGTGAGAGGTCATACTCTAGTAAGAGGTAATGTTGCTTTGATGAAGTTATTATTTAACAGAGGTTGCAACTGTAGATTCAAAATACTCCCTATGTTACCTCCTTCACATGAACTGTCTTGTTTCTGTTAAATGATTTTTCACACAAAAAGATCTTGCAAACAACTTATTTTTGGACAACCCACTTGCCTCCCCATTAAAAAACTGGGAAATAAAAGATAATGTTAATTAATATAAATACTTTTTTTAACAAATATATCTACAGCAGTTGAGGGGCC